GGTACAGAGAATTTGTGTGTAGTATGTAAAACCTTTGTCCTGTCGTTTTATGCTATATTTTTTTGAAACTTTTTGCCGCCCATCTTGGCAGAAAAACAAACCCTGGAGAAGAGTTACTGTAACTCAATGGGAACTTTTCCTGGTTTAAATAAAGGTTAAATAGAAAAAAATAAATAAAAAGACAATTTATTCTTAGTTTTATCTGATGTTACTCAAAGATATGTAAATGAGGCATTCCTAATTAAAATGTGCTAATTTCCAGAAATAATGAGAATAAAGCAACGTTAAACTTTTCACAATCAGTTCAGAAGGTTTCCTCCTCTTTTCAGAGCTTACTGGTACCAGAAATTTCATGTTTAAAAATAAATGTAAATGAGGGATTATCTAAACTACTAACTTTAGCTGAAAATTCTACAAGACGCAAAACAGACAACGTGAAGTAAAATAAACAGCTGAAAGTGAAAAGTGATCTATCGTCCAACAACAACAGAAACACTATGGTGTGAGGCCATGTGAGGATCCGTCAAAAGTGAAGAGAGAGATCACGTTGCTAGTTTATGTCTTTAATATAATTAACCTCCTCACGTGTCTGTGCGCGGTCTGTAGATTTCAGCTAAAGTTAAGTGGTTAGATAACCAAATCCCTCATCTATACATTAGTTTCAACCAGTGGATATAAATTTCTGGTACCAGTAAAGACATGAGACCTTGTCATCTGAAAAGAGAGAAACCTTTGATCTGTAGTTGAAACGTTCTTTATATCGTTGCTTTATCTCTCTCATTACTTCAATCATAGAAATAGTATACAGTACATTTTTTTAATTTAGAGATATACGCTTTCTCTTTCACTATAATTTAGTAACTAATTCGTAAACATAAACGAGAGTAAAAACTTTATAGAAAGAACCTAAATTGTATCTTTTTTATTATGTTTTTCTATTTCCACTCTTCTTCATTCTCACATCTCAGGAAAGCATCTCGCCATTGGAGGCTGTTACAGTAACTCTTCTCCCCAGGAGTCCTGGCCAAGACTGGCGGCAAACAAGATAATTTTCAAAAATATATCATAGTCCAAAAAGACGTGACAGAAGGTTACATAACTACTATAACACCCGATCTTTATAAAAGATAAAATCTCTCGCTACATACAGTATGTTATTTGCAGTAAAGGTGAAAAGCCGATAACATAAAATGAAGAGGGAGGATCTTCAAGAGACAAGAAAACAGAAGTGATAATACAAAGGGAACCTAACGCAAGCTAAAACTAGGACAATTTACCAAACGGTATAATAAAAAGGAGCAGAGCCTATAGTGAAAAGGCTAAACAATTACACTGTTCTGGAGATCAGGAAGAGAAATGGAAAGCATTTAAATATAAAGTTATTTAAAAGTATATACAGAAAAGGTGGATAATTCTAGACCTTAGGGGTGTTTTGAAAATTCATTCCAGACATTTGGTGCCATATGAAAATGAGGGAAAGCCTGTTTTACCAAGACGTTCCCGCCTTCTTTGTGAATGGAATAGGGCACTAATAGTATTTGAATGTGTTCTGATTGACCTGTTACGACTTAGGAAAATAAACATCTATAGATTATTTAGGTAGCGATAAGAGGAATAGCATTAACTTTTAAGAAGAAATGTACCGAGGGCGTATACCTAATTTGAGCAATTTAGTAGCTTTAGCAATGAAAAATCAAATAAAAATGGAATTTTCTGATGAATAAGCTGTAGGAAAGTAGAGGTGAAGGACCATTAGTAGCAGAAATTTTTCATACAGAATAACAATGGTTGTCTTTAATTCCAGTAAAAATCTAAACTGAGGAACAGTTTCATCGATATTTATTAGTGTCTCTCATTGAAGCAACCTGTTGTTTGACAATTATCAATATTAAGCTCCTGTTAGACTCCAGGGGTGTTAGCAGGGCACAGACAAACTTAAAGTAACAGGAGTGGAGATACTGTTCAATAGACTTCATCTTAAATTCCAAGTTCTAGTAACAAATAAGATACCTCCTGTAGTCACGTCAAGAAGCTGTGTTTGCAGTGCCTGAAGACTAAAAGTCGAGACATAGGTAGGATACAAAGCGAGCCGCTGCTAGGGCTCGGTCAGAGTCCAGTTGTCCGACTCGCTCTGCCAATCCGCTGCCTGCGCAAGCCCTTGCAAGTTTCCTGGTACAAAGGAGTAACGCGTCGTGGTCCTGGACTGCCGCATGTACACCTGCAAGTCCTGCAGCAGCTACAACAAGAGGAGCACGGCTGGGTGTGGTGACAACTGCCGCATGACCAGGTGAGTACACACCGCTCTCTGGCCTAATGCAATTGCCTTTCCTTGACAGCGCAGGTGATCCGAGCGAGACTTGTGAGTCACAAATTTTGTGGGTGAGACTGCGCGATATAGACAAAATCAGTGTCAGAATGATATGTGAGCTGTACTCTTTAAATATATTCACATTTTGTGTCCATCAAATCCACAATGGGCCAACCATCACTCTGTAAGTTGCCTGATCAGGTTATTCAAATGATGGAGACATGCCAAAAAAAAAGTTTGCACCTCTCGAGTGCTGACTAAAAAGTGTCTCAAGTTATTAGGTGTGCGCGACACATATAGATGCTCGCTTGTCGTCAGTAATTTGTGCTCCGCAGCATCCTGGTGAATTATTGCTTCATGTCTTACACTAGAAATCAGTCCTGCATATTGGTTTTTTTTGCAATAAAAAACAATACCATATAGTCTTGAATGTGGAGAAGTTTCCTGATAGTTTCTGGTCTCAGTCTTCTCAGTAATATACACCATGTTCTATCTGGTCCAATATACATGAATGCCATTGAAAATGTTAAAACCTAAAATTATAGCCCTTAACCAATGGAGTTTAACTGATATAGGACTGCGCGAGTAATTTAGAGTAAACAGACCATTACAAGGCAAGAGTATAAAGGGCTATTTATAGGCGCAGGCGTACCTTTAGTTTGAATGTGCAGCAGAATCGATTCTCACGTGCACGCTAGGAGGATCCGATCAGCAAACACACACTCGCTGAGGCCAACAACAATCCCACATGGTTCTCAAATTGTGATGACCAGACAGGAAATCTAGTATGGTTTTGAGGACATAAATATAGCTCATTATCATGAAAATGTGATGCAGCAACGCGATTAACCTAGCAAGGACAAATCGAGAGGAATAATGGTCTCTGCAATAAATCAGAAACTTTAAGATTAAAGAGATAGAAGAAAATCTGCAACAAGCTTGATCATATAGGAACATATATTCTACTGTCTTAAGGGAGTTAAGTTAAACATACATGCTATATGCGAGTAAACTTTTTTTACTCTAAGCTCGGTTCTGATTTGACTCATTTCCTGTGCCTTATCAGTAATCTGAATTCAATTGTCGTCTCAAATTTCCAAAAACCGCCCAACATTTAATTGGAGCAACCCCAGAGAGAACCTTCCTAGTCTTGGCTCGAGCTCCGAGGCAGGGGTATTGCGTTCATTAATATCATAGACTAGGAAGCCAATATTTTATTTTTATTAGTCATCATCTTGTTGATCATTTAACTATACCACTACCGAAACATTCCACAAACACATACCTATGACCCATCGCTGTAATAATCCGTGCACGGGGCGTGGAGTCGATCTCACCGTGCCAATTATTCGCTGTTGCCCGATTGGTAAGAAAGTTTCACAAGCCAAGTGACGTATACCTATAACTGTATCTAATGAACCTGGGAATTCTGTACCGCCCACAGATATTTTGTTACTATTGGTTTTTGCGTTTGTAGAATTGAATATTGTAATCCTGAATCGGCTGGATAGATGGAATATCGCGATCGTCTATCAATCCCTCGCCGCTCCAGATGCGCGAGGTTGAGCGAGAGCGTGACTAGTTAGATGTGATGTGCGTTGCTAGATGAAGGAAGTGCTTCGATATATAACAATCATCCGATTCCTAAACTTTAAGAAAGCAGGTGACACGACGGCGAGGGTTGGACTAGCGGAATGACAAGGTTGGTCGGCGAAGGCGCTTCTATACAGGAAAATGCAGGGTCGAGAGTGTGTAGATGACGTAGCGATGCCGTAGATGCCTCCTACACAAGGGAAAATAAATCATTCAATGGCAGGAAATAGCCATAGCGTCATAGACCGTTGTAGATCACCAGTCTTGGTATTTGGTCCCGTTGTTAAATGAAATGTGGTGTAAGTAATAGCTTTACGACCACTTCCGTTAAATGTCATACAGGAGGTTTTCAGTGACTCTACTCACCTGTTTTAAGGTCTGGTGCCATGGCCGTCTCCTGTTGTTTGTTTGTGCCATATTTACGTGCAGAGGTGCGCGGCGCATATATTGATGCTGTGTACATTTGCGCCTTAATTGCGTGCGGTTTTTGGACTTCCTTTCAACATATAATAGACAGACCGTCGCATTGTAGTCCAAAAAAGGGCTCGGGCGTATCTTAGGCGGGCTTTCGGCCCCATTGAACTGGCCCAATGTTCGAGCAAGGTCATGACCGATTCAATACGTTATAACATCCATCCACGAGGACTTTATGACTACTCTGTAAATGTGTCACTAGTATGGTGAGATCAAGCGACTTCCTCTTACGTCCAGTGCCTGTTGCGCGCCAACAAGAAGTGTCACCAAAAGAGAAGGTTGAACCAAAACAGCAATATCACCAACGTGCTGCTGTGAATCCAGCGCCTCGAAGGATGCCAAGTGAATTAAGGAAAACAAACAGTGCGAGTACGGCTTGTGGTCATAAAGCAGTTGGTAGGCGTGAAGAGTACAGTTTCATACAGAATGCAGTGGTGTCTTAATGTCAGTAATCAACTGAGGAAGTTTCATCGATATTTATTAAGTGTCTCCATTAACACTGTGTTGAATTAGCTGTTAGCTCCTGTTAGCAGGGTGTTAGCAGGGCACAGACAATATCAGGAGTGAGATACTTCCAATAGACTCATTAAACTTTAGTACCATCCTCTGTCCTCCTGTTTTGCAGTGACCTGAAGACTAAAATCGAGAAGGAGGATACAAAGCGAGAGCTGCTGGGCTCTCAGAGTCAGTTGTCCGACTCGCTCTGCATCCGCTGCCTGCAGCCCTTCAAGTTCCTGGTCAATAGTAAGCGTCAGTGTCTGGACTGCCGCATGTACACCTGCAAGTCCTGCAGCCGCTACAACAAGAAGGAGCACGGCTGGGTGTGTGACAACTGCCGCATGACCAGGTGAGACACCCGCCGGCAGATGTGGGTCCTGACAGCGCAGGTGAGGAACTTGTGGTCACATTTGTGGTGAGACTGCTCGTTAACTCAGTGTCAGTATGTGATGATTCATTTTGTGTCCAATCAAATCCACAATGGAGCCAACCATCACTCTGTATGCTGACAGGTTAGCCATCTACTATAAGTTAAAGTCCACCTGTCCTGCTCATTTCCAGCTCTGTATTCTCTGTCTACACTAGAGTAGCTGCATTGGTTGCAATAAAAAACAATACCATTCAGTCTTATGGAGAAGTTTCCTGATGAGTTTCTGGTCTCAGTCTCTAGT